CAGAAGGTGTCCAGAACCGCAGAAACCCCCACTTACTGCCCCCAAGAGCTATAGAGGGATCTAGAGCACCCCTAGACTCTCCCAGGAGCTGCCGGAGGCCCTGAGCACCCCTAGACTGTCGGCCAGTTTGGACCCAGGATGGTTCTGGTGGGGCAGAGCAGCAGGCAGGTGACAGAGGCTGGCCCTGGTTCCAGGACTTCTCTTCTGGGAAAGGCAACAGTTGTCAGGGAGCAAAATCTTGAAGTGCCAAGTTGCCACACAGGCCCGAGGGAAGCCGGGAGAAGATGGGGACAGAGATCACCACAGGGGCAGCCACAGCCAGGCCCCTGCAAACCACAGGCGCCCCCGCAAAGGCCTCTGTGCAGCCCACACTGCTCCTGTAACACGCTTGCTCCACAGTTCTTCCTCCTGCAGAACAGATAGGAGCCCCAGAGGATGTAGCCAGCACCAGGCACGGGGCCTCCAGGGAGTCCTCCCTCTGATCTCACTCACAGCACACTCCCCACTGCTCCCCGAATAACCCCACAGCAAGGTGAAGAAATTCATTGAATGCCTAGAGCATCTATAATTCTCTGTTGCCACAAATTTCCTGTCAGCTCTGAATTCCAACTGACCTCTCTCTCTAGGTCAATAATATGCAAAAGAGGTGCTGCCGGGCCACACTGGCACTGAGGGCTGCTGCCCTGCCTCGCGACCCTCGGAGGCGACTGCAAAGACACCAGGCAAGAGATTCGCTGAGGTCTTTTTTTCAATGAGTCTAATCTAACAAGGTTTCTCTTCACTCTTTTTTTTTTTTTTTTTTTTTTTTTTTTTTTTTTTTTTGAGACGGAGTCTCGCTCTGTCGCCCAGGCTGGAGTGCAGTGGCGCGATCTCGGCTCACTGCAAGCTCCGCCTCCCGGTTCACGGCCATTCTCCTGCCTCAGCCTCCGAGTAGCTGGGACTACAGCGCCCACAACCGCGCCCGGCTAATTTTTTTTGTTTTTTAGTAGAGACGGGGTTTCACCGTGGTCTCGATCTTCCTGACCTTGTGATCCGCCCACTCGCCCTCCCAAAGTGCTGGGATTACAGGCGTGAGCCACCGCGCCCGCCTCTCTTCACTCTTAACGCGAATGGCTAGTTGGAAATCCTAATGACGCTGCTGCCTACTGTGCCTTGGGTGTTCAGGTCAGCGGGAAAGGTGTTGGGTGCGGGAGCCACGCACCAAGACTAGGGCTGCTGGGAGGCCCAGCCACAGCCGACCCCCAAGTAGTACCTCCAGCAAGTGCGTGGCACCTGTGGAATATTCCAGCTTCAGGGATGGCGAGCCCAGAGCGCAACTGCTGCCATGTCCCCGAGAGCAGCCTCTGGGCCCCTGTTCTCTGTGGTCACTCACACTGCTGGCCCAGCAGCTGGAGCATCTGTGTCCAACTCACAGAGCAGGCCACAGCCTGAGCTCCCTCCTCTCTGAGCTGCTAAGCCCCAGGAAGGCCCAGGGAGGCAGCGGGTGGGGGCACCAGGTCACCCACTATCGGTCCCCTTCTGAAGGGACCACATTCTCCAGGAGGCGAGGTGAGGACAACCCTGGACAGCTGCCTCTTCCCCAGTCAAAGGAAAGCTGGCCCCTCCGGGTGGGCACAGGGGGCACGGCATAAGCTCTCTGTCCTTCATGAACTACACCCCTCTCTTCTCTGCACACCTCCACACCCAGGGAAACACTCAACCTCTGACCAAGAGTCACCCCTCATCAGTGCTGGAAACTTTCCCAGGAGTAACTGGAACCACCGCAGGGCCTGGTCCACTAAAGTGGACGGATCCAGGGGAGGCACTGTGCTGATAAAATCCCTAGCAAAACCTCGGGTGTCTGGGCCGGTGAGCCAGGGCTCGGCTGTCAATGGTCCTGCTCTCTGGCTGGGAGCTGCTCAAGCCACAGTGCAACTCTGGATAGCATGTTGCTAATTAAAGAACCTCCAAAACCTTCGCTAGCCCGCCAGAGCCAGGTGCAGTCCGAGAACCTGGCCAGCCGCCCTCTGCCCCGCCACATCCTCCTCAGTGAGTGCGGCAAGCAAGATGCAGAGGCATGAGTCGCACCCACCCTGCCCCCACACAGGCTCCCTGCGCTAGCGGCATGACACCTGCTGTGATTCCTGGCCCTGCCCCAGCACAATTGACAGGACCACGGCATGGAGAACAACTCCACCCCAGGCTCCGTCACCACTTGCCGAGGGTCTGAGAAGCAAGAGGCTGCTGGAGGAGCTGCTCACGGGACTGAGTCCCCTGCACCTCAGGCCCACGATCCCCAATGCTCAGGCAGTGAAGTGAGCAAGCAGTAGTGGCAGGCACTGACTGGCCAGGCACACCCCCTCAGCTACCCACCAGTGCAGCCTCTGGATGTTCCTGGACCTCTCCTCAAGCAGGCCCTCCGTCCGCTGGCTTCTGAGGCTCGCTACTGTGTGGCCAGGCTCACTCTGTCAGGCACAACTGGCCTCTCAGCTGGTGAGATGCCCCTTGGCCCTTGGCCTTGCAGCTGTTCTTCTCCGTCCAAAGCCAACATCTCCTACAGGAGACAGCGACGCTGGATCCTGATAGTGCTGTATTTATAAACACAGGCCCACGCTCAGCTCCATTTCCGGATGAAGCCATAGCCAGGCAAGCCACAAGAGCGCTGATTCGGGTGTGGTGATCAACTTTCCAAGGCGTGACAACCTGTACGTCCAGCCAGGTGGGAAAAATAGGAAGCCAAGGGCCAAGCTGGAAAGTGCAGGAGCCGAGGGAACAGCAGGACTGACTGCAAGGGGCAGGCTGGCGGGACGGGAGCTGCCCAGGGCTCACAGCAGCTCCCACCAGAGGAACAGCGGAGTCCTGCCGCAGGGTGAACATGGAGCTCGCAGCAGCCAGCACGCTAGGCCAGGAGAGCTCAGACCTCAGGGTGGGTCTTCAGGGCCAAAGCACCCCCCTCCGGTCCCTGGTGGGGCCACATCCCAGGCTTGAGGTGGGCGGGGAAGGAGAGCCCTAGGCCAGACAGGAGGGGGCCTCATGACCTCACGCCTGTGGTGGCCAGGGTAGCCCGAGAATGTAGAAGGGCCACCCTCCCAGCCCCACTACGGAGCACCTCCTGGAGCCACTGGCGGGCACTGCCCAAAAGCCTGAGCAGCCATCCCTCTCCCTAGCACTCATACGAACGAAGGCCCAATTCAGCACCGCACCAGGAAGGCCCGGCACAAGGATGCCCTGCCAGCAGGGCATCGGCCTCCTGCCGCTCACCCTCCTGAGGCGCTCCGGGGCAACTGGGAAGATGCAGCATGTCCACCCTCAACTGACCAGGAAACGAGCTCATACAGAAGCCTCAACTCCACTGCTGTGGGGGACCCCCCGCCCCACCCGTGTCCAGGACCAGGGAGGCGGGCACTGTCTCCAGGCGGCCCTGGAGACACCTGCACGACCCAGGGTGCAATGCTGATGAAAATTCTTGCCCCAATTATTTGCATCTAAAAATAAGGAAGTCCTGGCTGGGGGCCATACAATAAAGAATATTTGTCGCCCGGGCGCGGTGGCCAAGCCTTAATCCCAGCACTTTGGGAGCCCGAGACGGGCGGATCACGAGGTCAGGAGTTCGAGACCATCCTGCTAACACGGTGAAACCCCGTCTCTACTAAAAAATACAAAAACTGCCGGGCGCGGTGGCTCACGCCTGTAATCCCAGCACTTTGGGAGGCCGAGGCGGCGGATCACAAGGTCAGGAGATCGAGACCACGGTGAAAACCCCGTTTCTACTAAAAATACAAAAAATTAGCCGGCGCGGTGGCGGCCGCCTGTAGTCCCAGCTACTCAGGAGGCTGAGGCAGGAGAATGCGTGAACCCGGGAGGCGGAGCTTGCAGTGAGCCGAGATTGCGCCACTGCACTCCAGCCTGGGCGACAGAGCGAGACTCTGTCTCAAAAAAAAAAAAACAAAAAACAAAAAACAAAAAACTAGCCGGGCGACGTGGCGGGCGCCTGTATCCCAGCTACTCGGGAGGCTGAGGCAGGAAATTGGCGTAAAAACCCGGAGGCGGAGCTTGCAGTGAGCTGAATCCGGCCACTGCCACTCCACCCTGGGCGACACAGCGAGACTCCGTCTCAAAAAAAAAAAAAAAAAAAAAAAAGAAATATTGTCAATGCCTCTTGCAAGTCACTACGGAATTACACTGGGAAATGAGGCTCAAATTAAACAAAAGACGCTGGTGGCATCCTAGCTGTCAACCGGGGGTCCCTGGTCACCTCTGTCCTGATGCAGACGTGGGACTCCCAGAAGTGTTGGAGAGCAAACAAAGGCGTGGAGGAGGGGCCCAACAGAGGGGCCGAGCTTGCAGGACAGCAGCCCAAGGCCAGGGCCCTTCCCATCAGCATTGGCCGGTCCCATTCCTATGCTCACCAGAACAAAACATCTGAGAAGAGGGATGTCATCTGCAGGTCCGCCTCGTGGATCCACATCCTGGCCTCCTTCCAGATGGTGGCTGGTCATCCCCCACTGACCATCTCCGCAAGACAAAGGCATCCTGGGGAAGGCTGAACGGAGCTGGACTGCATGGTCACTTTGCTGCTCAGCTCAAGCACACCTGCCTCCGGGCTGCTGGGCTGAGCTGCCCGTGCGCAGCAGCTGCGCCAGCTGCTCTCGGGCATGGGCTGCATGGGCAGTCGAGACACAGAAATGTGAGACACGGCGTTGGGACAAGCGAGCTGACCACGTGGGCCTCAAGCCCGTGCGGAGCCCAAACTCCTCTGCCAAGCAAGGCCCAGGATGTTGGTCCGAAAGGCTGTGCAAGGGCTGCGTGGGGACTGAAGGCCCTCCAAGCCCCCTCGCCTGCTCAGCTCACCCCTTCTTGTCTCAGGACTCAGGGGTCATTAGAACCCAACTGTCTCCTCTAAACCCCTGAAGAGAGCTGCTGCTTGAGGCAAACCCTCCCCCCAAACCCAACCCCACCCCACCAAAGCCACAGCACTCACCCCTCCACAACCACTGTGTCCCAGCCCCTCCGCGTCCCACCACCCCACGATGGTGCCCTCGGGGTGGCCATAGGCGAAGAGCCTGCTGGAGTGTCCTCCGCACTCGGCCAGGTGCTGGCCTGTGTCCGGGGGCAGGAGGTGCCACAGCTTGACCAGGGGGTGCTGAGGAAAGGGCTGGTTGGGCAGTGGGAGCAGGACAGTCAGGCCCAGAGCAGGTTGCTCAGGCCCCAGGCCTGTGTGTACCCCGGTAGAAAGGGCAGACCTACTCCTTCCCCAGTGTCTCCTTTGCCCATTTCTGTCCTTTGGGTCCTGACTCCTCTGTTTGAGCAGCACCTGCACCCCAGGGACCCAGCATGGGCCCCTGACCATGCAGAGGACCTGGAGCCAAAGCCATGAATGTACTTGGGCGTTGAGAACAGCCCAGCAGTAGCCAGTGTCCCCCAGGGGCTCCTGGAAGCCTGACCCCATCTGTGGGGCGTGGGGTGAGACGAGGGTGCCAAACCGGCCCTCCACAGGCTGGAGCCCTCCGAGGAAGCTGCCTGACAAACCCCAGCACTATGACCAGCAGCCACGCTTTCAATCACCCTCACAACCCTGCAAAAGTGGCCTGAGCTGAGCACACATCGGGCGCGCCGCGCCTGAAGAGCAGAAGGGACGGGCCTCTTCAGCAACTCAGTTATTTTTAGGGCTGCCTCTCAGAGCAGCTGCCGAAGCCAACAGGCCCAGCCAGCCTGCGGGGCCAGCAGCTCACATGGGCCTCAGGGCTGCCCTCAGCAGGAGCCTTCCTAACAGAGACCCTCCATGCCGGGCAGAGAACAAGCATGCCACACCCCTGGCCCCCTGGTCCTGGGAAAGCACAGTAAAACCTCCATCCTGCCATCCCTGTCCCACCTGTACCTGACCCGCCTTGGCAATGCCACCGTCTGCCACCCACACACACAAGTCACAGGGTCCAAAGTAGACCCCCGTCGCTGTGACTGACTGCAGACCGCTCTCTGCAGCAGCCCCCCGACCGCCCACCACAGCACTCGCAGCTGCCCACTCCATCAGAATTTCCCTGGACGCATGGTGAGAATGCTGGGCTGAGAGGGAGAGGGCTGGTTCTAGGTGCCCAGATCCCAAGGAAAGCATTCTTAGCCCCAAGGACACTGGCAGCCCCCCCTTCCTCTGTCTCCTGCACAAAAGCCAGTCCCCAGCGAGGACCCACTGCCATGTGATGCAGTGTTGGACAGCAGGACAGAAACAGCCGAGGTTTCTAGGCCTGCGTCTTGAAAGCAGGGCACTGCCTGTGCAGACAGAGCGGCCGTGCACGCACTGGTGCTGGCCACGGGCAATGGGCCAGGTCCTCTAGATCCCCCAAAGCCTCCAGGGCTATGGGCACCGTCCCTGCTGCCCCCCTTGGCCCCAGCCGAGTGTGCCCAGCCTCCTACAGGCCACAGGCTGCCCAGGTGAGCTTCCTCAGCCCGTCCCTCTGAGCAGCCTGTCTGCCCCAGATCACTGCAGACCACCTCCAAAAGTCCAGTTCTCAGCCCCTCCCTCGGAGCAGCCCATCTTCCCGGACCACTGCAGACCACCTCCAAAAGTCCAGTTCTCAGCCCCTCCCTCGGAGCAGCCCATCTTCCCCGGATCACTGCAGACCACCTCCGAAAGTCCAGTTCTCAGCCCCTCCCTCGGAGCAGCCCATCTTCCCCGGATCACTGCAGACCACCTCCAAAAGTCCAGTTCTCAGCCCCTCCCTCGGAGCAGCCCATCTTCCCCGGACCACTGCAGACCACCTCCAAAAGTCCAGTTCTCAGCCCCTCCCTCGGAGCAGCCCATCTTCCCCGGATCACTGCAGACCACCTCTGAAAGTCCAGTCCCAAGCCCTGCACAACACCTCCCACCCACCTCCACCTGCACACGCCAAGGCAATCCCCGCCTCCAGTGTGGACCACCACTCCAGCAGCACTGCTCTCCCAAACACACACGCTTTAAATAGTCCAGTGACTTCCCCACCACTCAAAATGAAACCACACTCCTTGGCATGACAACCTGGTTCCATTACAGGAACATACACCAAGAAGCTACACTGTGCGGCTCGGGCAGGGGCCGGGTACAGCACTGAGCAAGGCAGACAGGGTCCCGCTGTGAGAGTCTCGTGCAGGCCGGTGGGGGTCAGTAGGCAACACGCGTCCTGAGGAGACACCCCGACACGTGGGACAGAGGCAGGGGGAAGGGCTGGAGACAGGCTACTGCCCCAGCCGGCCGCCGCCCACTGACACCACCCAGTGCATCTACGGATGCTGAGGATCCAGCAGGAAGAGCAACACGTCCAATTGTTGCTCCAGAGGTGAGACAGAGAACAGCGCAGAAGCAACAGCGGAAGAGACAGTGGTGAGAGCTTCCCAGGACTCGTGAAAATCATCAATCCACAAAGTCAGCAAGTCTAATGAGTAACCCCGACTCAGGCAATCACAAAAGAAGCCATGTCAGGACCCACCATGAGACGACCACTGGCAACGACGACATGACCGCAAAGCCACCCCAACGTCTCCCTCCAGCGTGTCACGGCCGCTGACCTCTCAGAGCAAAGCTGGAAGTCAAAGTCAGGGACACCCTGCCTGGACCTGTGGGAGGCGCACCCACCACCCCAGCATTGTACAAGCAGCACACACCCTGCTCAGGGTGAGGGTAAAAAAAACATCTTCAGACAAACAGAAAGAGACGGTGGTTATCAGCAGATCCTCACTAAAGGAAATCCTAAGAACAAATGTTCAACAAATGTTCAACAGGAGGAAAATGATTCCTGAGATGAAAGAAGAACGAGCAAAAAAGGAAGTGGTGAGTTTTGAAGCTCATCAGATTTCACAATCTAAAGCAGTAACATCTTTGTGGGCTTCATAAAAAAACAATTAAAATACACAGTAACAAAAGCATATAAACATAAATATGAAAGGGCTGGATTAGAATAAGGTCCCTATGTAGTTCAGCAGGAGAGTAAAGATACAATGAACTATGCACATTAAAATTTACAGGATAGGGCCGAGCGCCGCAGTGGCTCACGCCTGTAATCCCAGCACTTTGGGAGGCTGAGGCGGGCAGCTCACGAGGTCAGGAGATGGAGACCATCCTGGCTAACACAGTGAAACCCGTCTCTACTAAAATACAAAAAACTAGCCGGGCGAGGCGGCGGGCACCTGTAGTCCCAGCTACTCGGGAGGCTGAGGCAGGAGAATGGCATGAACCTGGGAGGTGGAGCTTGCAGTGAGCCGAGATCGTGCCACTGTACTCCAGCCCGGGTGACAGAGCAAGACTTCATCTCAAAAAACAAAAAATTTATAGGGTAGGCTGGGTGTGTGTGGCTCATGCCTGCAATCCTAGCACTTTGAGAGGCTGAGGCGGGTGGATCATTTGAGGTCAGGAGTTCGAGACCAATCTGGCCAACATGGTGAAACCCCGTCTCCACTAAAAATACAAAAAAAATTAGCCGGATGCGGTGGCACATGCCTGTAGTTTCAGCTGCTTGGGGGGCTGGGGCACAAGAAAAACTTGACCTGGGAGGTAGAGGTTGCAGTGAGCCAAGATAACGCCACTGCACGCCAGCCTGGACAACAGAGTAAGACTCCGTCTCAAAAGAGCGAGACTCCATCCCAAAAAAAAAAACGGCTGGGCGCAGTGGCTCAGCCTGAAATCCCAGTACTTTGCGAGGCTGAGGTGGGCGGATCACAAGGTCAGGAGATCGGGACCATCCTGTCTAACACGGTGAAACCTCATCTCTACTAAAAATACAAAAAATTAGCCAGCCATGGCGGCGGGCGCCTGTAGTCCCAGCAACTCGGGAGGCAGAGGCAGGAGAATGGCGTGAACCCGGGAGGCAGAGCTTGCAGTGAGCCAAGATTGCACCACTGCACTCCAACCTGGGTAACACAGCAAGACTCCGTCTCAAAAAAAAAAAAAATTTTTACAGGGTAACTACTAAACAAATAAAAGTAATGATAAATTTCCCTAATAATAGGGGGAAATGAAATTTAAAAATCAATGCAAAATAAGATAAAAGAAAAACAAACAAAAATATAGGACAATAAAAAGCACAAAATAAAACAGTAGACATGAGTCCAAATATCAGCAATGTAGATAAATGTAAACGAAATCAATGTTCCAATTAAAAACAAACATAGCCAGAGTGCCCGGGCACATTCGCTCACACCTGTAATCCCAGCACTTTGGGAGGCTGAGGTGGGCAGATCACGAGGTCAAGAGATTGAGATCATCCTGGCCAACATGGTGAAACCCATCTCTACTAAAAATACAAAAATTAGCCAGATGTGGTGGTGGGTGCCTGTAATCCCAGCACTTTGGGAGGCCAAGGCGGGCGGATCATGAGGTCAAGAGATTGAGATCATCCTGGCCAACATGGTGAAACCCGTCTCTACTAAAATACAAAAATTAGCTGGGCGTGGTGGTGGGCACCTGTAGTCCCAGCTACTTGGGAGGCTGAGGCAGGAGAATCTCTTGAACCTGGGAGACAGAGGTTGCAGTGAGCTGAGATTGCGCCACTGTACTCCAGCCTGAGCGACAGAGAGAGACTCCGTCTCAAAAAAAAAAAAAAAAAAGGTCAGAGTAATGAAAACGAAATCTAGATACATGCTGAATAATCAAAGACACATCTAATATGTAAGGATATACAAGATTTTAAAAAAGGGTAGAAAGATAGCTAACAGGCAAAAATTATCTAAAAGAATGCTTGCATCAAAGTCAATACTAAAGACAAAAAGCATTACTAGCTATAAAAGCAGTCATACAATGACAAAAAGTTCAACATACCTAGAATTACAATTCTAAACATGTATGTACCTAATAACACGGCCTCAAAAATATATAAAGTGGCAGGGCATAGTGGTTCATGCCTATAATCGCAGGACTTTGGGAGGCAAGTAGACTGCTTGAGTCCAGGAATTCAAGACCAGCCCAAGCAAAACACGGCAAAATCCAGTCTCTACAAAAAATACAAAATTTAGCCAGGTGTGGTGGTGCACACTTATAGTCCCAGCTACTCAGGAAGCTGAGGTGGGAGGATCGATTAAGCCTGGGAGTTCAAAGCTACAGTGAGCTGTGATCGTCCCACTACACTCCAGCCTAGGGGACAGACTGAGATCCTGTCTCAAAAAAAAAAAAAAAAAAAAAAAGGCCGGGCGCGGTGGCACAAGCCTGTAATCCCAGCACTTTGGGAGGCCGAGGCCGAGACGGGTGGATCACGAGGTCAGGAGATCGAGACCATCCTGGCTAACACAGTGAAACCCCGTCTCTACTAAAAAATACAAAAAACTAGCTGGGCGAGGTGACGGGCGCCTGTAGTCCCAGCTACTTGGGAGTCTGAGGCAGGAGAATGGCGTAAACCCGGAGCTTGCAGTGAGCTGAGATCCGCCCACTGCACTCCAGCCTGGGCAACAGAGCTAGACTTCATCTCAAAAAAAAAAAAAAAAAGGTAT